AACACCACGGCAACGCAACACCACGGCAACGCAACACCACGGCAACGCAACACCACGGCAACACAACATCACGGCAACGCAAAACCACAGCAACACAACACCACAGCAACGCAACACCACAGCAACACAACACCACGGCAACACAACATGACGGCAACACAACACCACGGCAACACAACATCACAGCAACGCAACACCACGGCAACGCAACACCACGGCAACGCAACATCACGGCAACGCAAAACCACAGCAACACAACACCACAGCAACGCAACACCACAGCAACGCAACACCACGGCAACACAACACCACGGCAACACAACACCACGGCAACACAACACCACGGCAACACAACATGACGGCAACACAACACCACGGCAGCACAACAAAACTGATGTTTAGAGCAGCAAATCAAGGCCCTCAATGAAAAATAACGTGTTGAAAAGTTTCACATTTCAAACTTGTTGACTTTGTGTCTCTTTGTTGCTGTTTTGTGTCTCTTTGTGGCTGTTTTGTGTCTCTTTGTGGTGGTTTTGTGTCTCGTTGTGGTTGTTTTGCGTATCTTTGTGGTTGTTTTGTGTCTCTTTGTGGCTGTTTTGTGTCTCTTTGTGGTGGTTTTGTGTCTACCGTGACTTGTCTCTGAACTAATTTTAAATGTCTTGCCAAACTGTAATATTCTGTACATCACAGTATAATGTTGGGATGTTCCTGAGGCCTCCTCATTCACAAATATCACATGTTTAAACTGGAGAAGTGCTGTATTGTTGCAGCTCTTTTGTTCTGGGCTTCACACTATATTAAAGGCATGAAGCATATATTAGAGATGCATATTAGAGATTCCTCCGCTACCAGGTTGTCCTCACCTGTCCTCACCTGTCCTCACCTGTCCCTGAGCAGAAAGCTTCCATCATCGCCTCCAACAAAGTGTCCAGCCGAGTGTTCGCCGTCTCTTTCTGTCAAGACAACAGCTACTTCGTCACCGCTGGAAACCAACACGTCAAGTTCTGGTACCTGGACGCCTCCAAGGAGCGCCGGGTAACTCACCTGAGGCCGGATCCACCAGTCGTACTCATTTCCAGCTGCTCTGAGGTATCAGGCTGATGTGTGTTCTCCTCCTCTCCAGGTAAACAGCACAGTGCCTCTGATTGGTCGGTCGGGGTTGCTGGGCGACCATAAGAACAGCGTGTTCAGCGGGGTGGCGTGTGGGCGGGGCCTCATGGCGTCCAACACCTACTGCATCACCAGCTCCGGTCTGCTGTGTCTGTTAAACAGCAGCCGAAAGCTGGAGGCCTGGGTCGACCTAAAGGTGAGCACAGAACACCACGAGACACACCTGGATGGTTCAGAAACACACCTGGATGGTTTAGTAGCAAACATGGATGGTTTAGTAACACACCTGGAAGGTTCAGTAACACATGTAGATGGTTCAGAAACACACCTGTACAATTAAAAATAAATGTATGTGTACAATCATAAAATACATCTGTATGTCTTAGAATACAGTATAAGTACATTACTACCTTAAAAATTCCTGCAAAAGAAAAGAAAACACACCTAGACAGTCTAAAAAATACACCTGTACGACATACACCTGTATGGTTACAGAGAATCGCGCCTACACACCACCTAAAGGAAAAGAAGCACTTTTACAGCTGCAACAGTGAGAGAAAAAAATCATTCGGTTTCATTCATAAATAAATGAACAGATCAAATGTTGTCTTGTTGTGAGGTTGTGTCCTGGAGCGCTGTCTGACAATCACTGATGTTGTTGTTGTTGTTGTTGTTGACAGACGGCGGCGGCCAGCTGCCTCTCCATCACTGAGAGCTTTGTGTTCTGCGGCTGCGCTGACGGCGTCATCAGAGTTTTTAATCCGTCCAACCTGCAGTACATCAGCACTCTGCAGCGGCCGCACCGCCTGGGAGTGGACCTGACGCCGATCACCCCACACGGGTACGAGTACTGCAGACGTACAGGAGAAACACTGCAAACGTGCTGTATAAGTACTGTAGACATGGTCGATGAAACCCAGGTAGAACCTATTGAAAGACTCTTACCTGTGTGCCTCCACAGCGGCCCGTTACCTGCCAGTCCAGGTGCACAGTTCCCCGACACGTTGGCTCTGACCTTTAACTCGGCCTCATGTCACCTGACCTGCGTCTACAGCGACCACAGCCTGTATGTGTGGGACGTCCGAGACCTGAAGAACGCCGCCAAGCTGTACTCGGCTCTGTACCACAGCAGCTCTGTGTGGAGCGTCGAGGTCAGTGTGTCGCTGGAAACACTGCCAAAAGTACTGCAACAATACTGCCAAAAGTACTGCAACTATACTGCCAACAGTACTGCAACAATACTGCCAAAAGTACTGCAACTATACTGCCA